GTAACTAAAAGTAGAAATTCCATTCCATCCAGCAATGCCACTACTCAGTAACTACCCAAAGGAAAATGTCATTATATGAAAAAGACACATGTGCATGCGTGTTTATAGCAGCACAATCACAATTGAAAAGATACAGAACTAACCTAGGTGCCCATCAACCAAAGAAATTATGATGTATATACACGCCATGGAATACTACTCAGCCACAAAAAGGGACAAAATAATGTCTTTTGCAGCAACTTGGATGGAACTGGAGGCGGTTATTCTAAGTGAAGTAACTCAGGAATGGAAAACCAAATATTGTATGTTCTCATTTATAAGTGAAAGCTCAGCTATCAGGATGCAAAGGCATAAGAATGATATAACGGACTTTAGGAACTTGTGTAGGAAGGTTGGGAGGGATAAAAGACTACCTATTGGGTATAGTGTACGCTGCTTGGGCGACGGGGGCACTAAAAATCTAAGAAATCACCACTAAAGAATTTATCTGTGTAACCAAAAACCACATGTGCCCCCAAAACTATTAAAAAAAATCTTGAAGAAAGAATTTCTGTTGTAAAACTCATGCACTTTGCCTATGTGAAATTGCATTAGCTTTTGCTGTCCAAGGTGACTCATTCTTTGATAGATCAGGAAGACTTCGGTTCTGTTGATGGAATTTGATTCTTACTACTATGACTTGAGCAAATTTTTAACCACTCTAAACTTAAGTTTTTTTCATCTACAATATGGTGATAATAAATAACTGTCCTGTGGGATAAATTGCAGGATGAATATAAAACAACTTATAGGCAAGGAAGTTGCAAATTTCAGACAAGCAGAACTTAGCCGAAGTCCATGGACAAGGGATGGGCTACAGAACCTCAGCAAATGCCCTGATATTTTCAGCAAAGTGTGGGTTTGTGCCACCTGTGTGTTTTTCATCAGAAGTTTATGACCTCAAGAAAGTAAGAATAAGTGCTTCTAGCATGGACTTTGTGATATCATTGGTTTGCTTATTTTCCAATTCTAAACCACATTTCAGATAGGTAGAGCTGTTAATTTACTGACTGCCAGGTTGGAGAGGCATTAATATATACTTGACGTGCAAAGAGTCCTCAGTGAACTTAGCTCAATGAATTAACTATGATTTAATTCATTGACTAGTAAGTGAATTAACTATTAGAGAATGTGTATCAATCTATTTGTATAGTCATACCTGCTACATTGTAGCTGATATGGTCTGGATGTGTGTCCCCTCCAAATCTCATGTTAAAATGTGATCCCCAGTGTTGGAGGTGGGGCCTAGTGGGAGGTATTGGATCATGGGGGTGGATCCTTTATGAATGGCTTAGAGCCATTTCCTTGGTGATGAGTGAGTTCTTGCTCAGTTAGTTCATGTGATATCTGGTTGTTTAAAAGAGCCTGGAACCTCTACTCTCTCTTGTTCCCTCTCTCTTGCTCTGACTCTTTCTCCCCCTTTGTTTTCTACCACAATTGTAAACTTCCTGAGACCTCACTAGGAGCAGATGCCAGAACCATGCTTCTTGTACAGTCTGTAGAACTGTGACCCAAAATAAGCCTCTTTTCTTGATAAATTACCCAGTCTCAGGTATTCCTTTATAGCCGTGCAAATGGACTAACACAGTTAGTGATAATATATAGTTCACAAATGGACTAACAGATATAGCTATGCTATATTTGCCAATATAATCTGTATTATTTTAATAGATTACCTGGGCTAACATTCTTACTTCATTAATGAAAATAAACAAATTGGTCTTCTCAGTGTCTGTTATCTGTACTGGTTTCCCTTCTTCAAAGGGATATCATGAAAAGAAATAAAGATATAGCTATTAAAATCTTTGAAATTTCAGGGAAAAGGATGAGGATGATGATAAGGATTAGATTATTAGAATTACTGTTTATTGAGTATCTACTTAGTACCAGACTCTGTTCTAGGCATTTAATACACTTCATGTTTAATTTTCAAAACAACCTTTAAAGATAGGCATTAATGTCCTCATTTTATAGGTAAAGAAACCTGACACTTAGGTTAAGTAATAGAAATAACAGATCCAAGTTCACAAAGCTAGTAAATGTAAAGCTGGAATTTTAAAGTCTGTTTGACTCTACCATCTGTTATTTTTTTCCTATAGTTAATATAGCAGAAGATGTATTTGTGACTCTTAATAAGGCATAACCCAGCCCTGTAAAATGAATTTATTCTTATTTTTCTATTGCATTTGAAAATTGTAATAGTCTACTAACTTTAGAAAACTCGGGATGCACCTAAAACTCAATTTAGGGGAGGGTATCTAGAGTGAGAAATGAAGAGGGTTTAGACAAGAATCCTACAGAACACCAACATTTAAGAGACAAGTAGAAGGGGTCACTAGAGGTGTGGTACTGTGCTGTCACAGAAGACCGTTTCAAAATGGAAGGGATGATCCTAAATATTTACCTAAAAGAGAACACATTTATTCACATAAAGACCTGTACATGAATGTTTATAGCAGTTTTATTTCATAATTGCCAAACTGGAAACAACAAATATCCCTGATAAACAAATTGTGGTGCATCTGTACAATGGAACACTATACTTATCAATGAAAAGAACCTAGCTACCTACCTATACACAGGACATGGATAGATTTCAAAACCATTTGTATTGTGAAAGAAAACAAACATGAAAAGGTATATACTGTCTGATTCCATTTATATGATATTCTAGAAAAAGCAAAATCATGAGAACAGAAATGAGACCAGTGGTTGCCAGAGGCTGGAGGTAGGAGGAGTGGATTGACTATGAAGAGACTTGAAAGAACTGTTTGGGGGTGATGGTAATGTAGTATCTTGACTATGGTTGTGGCTACATGACTGCATAAGGTATCTAAACTCATAGGCCTGTATACCTACAAAAGGTGAAGTCCACTGCACATAAATTATACCTGAATAAGCCTGACGTCAAGTACAAAAGAAAAAAAAAAAGTGGGGGGGTGGGTAAGCTGTTAAAATGTTCTGTAATACAGCTTACAAATGACATAAGAAGAGGACTGAGACATGTCAATTGAATTGGCATTGGGGACTTTGCAGGGAGCAGTGGCAGTTGTATGTGGAGGCAGAAGCCAGAACGCTAAGCATTGAGGAGGATGGCAAAGATTACTGGTTGTCTGTGCCCGATACCCATTTTCCCCTTCTTACATGGGAATGGAAGTCTCAACTTTTGGATAGGCTCATGACTATGCAGAGTAAAGATTGCTTTGCTTAGTCTCCCTGGTAACTGAATGTAGCCATGTGACTGAATTCTGGCCAAGGAGATGTAAGTGTCCTGAGGCAGCTTCTGGGAGCCCTTTTTAAGAGGCAGCTGGCATGCTTCCTTTACCTATTTTTCTTTCCTCTTTCCACACTTATGTTGGCTGGAATGCAGACATGATGGCTAGAGCCAGAGCAGCCAACTTGGACCATGAAACAATTTTAGAAAGGAGACCACATACAATAGAGCAGCGTTTTGGAGGAGCCTGGATCTCTTTACTCTTTTGGGAGTAGAGCTAATAAACTGGCCCAGGACAGCTTACCTCTGGGCAGAAAAACACATCTTTTTCCTGTTTAAGCCTCATAATTATTCACACATGAACTTAATCCTATATGCAACTGGAAAGGGACGTAGATTAGAGGGGCAGGGTTTATGATCTCTGAATTCACATTGAATTTATCTGTGAAGGCAAACCTGGAGTTAATCCAGAATCTCCTTCTACAAAACAGCTCTTTGAATCTTCTCTGGGTTTGACTTTGTAGCTCACTCTAGAGGGAAAGCAGGAGCAGGGAATCCACTGAGAACACTTCGCATGGTTCTCTTTTCAGCCCCTTGACATGTGGAGCTGTCTCCCACATAGAGCCACCATACAAGCTGTTGGCTGTCCAGAAAGCCCTAGCCCTTGGCTTGCATATCTGAGCCCTCTCCCCTTTCAACCCTAGTCCCTTAGGGAGGCTTTCTGTGCGCACCTACCTAAGTACATCCACTTTCCCTTTTATTCTCCATCAGAGTATTTTTTTAAAAAACACATCTTTATTAAGGTATAATTCATAGACCACGAAATTCACCCAGAGTGTTCATAGCGTTCAGTATGTTCAGCTGCACAATCATCACCAGAAATTAATTCTAGAACATTTCATGACAGCATCTTATTACTTAATTTTTATAGCAATGTTTTCAGCAGTGACGATATGTTTATTTTTGTCTTTATCTGTGCTTTGCGTTTCTACTTTAACCTGTGAGCTCCTGCAGGGCAGACAGGGACTGGTGATGGCCATGCCTATTCCTGGTGCAGCGTTTTCAGCACCTGGCAGACACTGACTCACAGAGGGACCCGGCTGCAAGATATAAGAAAAGCCTGAAGCTGTCCCATCTACTCTTCATTGTAGCAGATGCAGGACACCTGGATGAGAACCAGGTTCCCTGCTCTGGAAGCCGTTAAGAGTAGAAGAGTCTCAGAGGGGTAGGAGGCAGGGAATACGTGCTCCAGGGTGGCTTATTACCGCGGGGGTGGGGATGGGGTAATTTGGGAAACCATATTCAATATAGCTATTGTTTTCAAATCACAGACTAGGGAAACTGACCCTGGACAATGTCTTCCTGGCAGGCGGGAACACGCAGAATTTAGAGTGAAACGGAAAAGGGGCGTGGGGTTGCCAAGGTGGTGAAACGCCGCATTAAGGTACCGCAAGACAGCTGGAGTTTTGCTTGGCAAACTCACAGGGATCTCGCCGGGCCGGCACAATGGCGTTTCCGAACCCGTACTCAGCCCACTGGGGGAAGTCCTTGCTGTTAGCAGAGGCCAGACGCTTCTTGCAACTTCTAAGCGGTGAGAGCTGCCACCTTGCCAATGACTCACTCGTTTCCCTACGCCCTCTGGGCTGTGCCACCCGCCACAGCCGCACTGCTCCCCCTCCCACCCTTCTCCCCAGGCTCCGCGCTGCGCTGCCAATCCCAAGGGAGCCGCCGGTGCACCTGGCGCCTCGGGCGCGGGGCACTGCGCGCTGGTGGCCACCTCACCCGACCCCAGCTGCCAGCGCCCTCCCTCCCCGAAACCCTTAAGTGGAGCTGCTTGTCTAGCGCCCAGCGAACAACATTATCCAATTGCTTCCCGTTTTATTCGCAGGCTGGGAGCTGAGAGAGCCTGAGCATTCACTTTCAACCCTCCAGGGAAGGAGGGGGTGCGGGCGGGGAGGGGAGACGGTTCCCAGCTCCACCTCGCGCGCGGCGCGGCCAGAGCGCTCCGCTCCGGCAGAGGCAAGCAGCGCCGGTGAGCCCCGCAGCAGCGCGCCCGGCCGCCGAGCCCAGCCATGGAGTGAGTATCCCCGCGCCTCGCCGCCGGCTGCCCTCCTCTCGGCATGTTGCCATGGTGACCGCGGCGGCAGGCAGATCCCGCTCGGGTCCGCGTCCAGGATGGGTGTTTAATTTCAGCCCCATGTGTACGCCTGGTGTTTCTATAGCAGCCGCCGCAGCGGCAGGAGGCAAGGGGTAGGATCCCCGGGTTGCGTGGTTTTCGCGGCTGCCCCTTGGCCAGCAGGGCCTGGGGGGCGAGTGAGGGAAGTAGATGATGTTGCAAAGGACGGAGGCACGTTCTAGGCTTTACAGTCCCTGCCCCAAGCTTCCGCTTATCGGGGAGTTGGCCGCAATAGCCATGACTTCCGATTCCTAACCATGTCAGCATTATTGGACTGCAGTTAAAAAAGAGGGAGGGGGGTCACTGCGGATCGGAAGCAAACGCGGTTCGGTGTGAAGCGTGCAATGGAAGGATGATGAGTTAGTGGGTAATATGAGCCAGGGCTGCAATGTCCTGGCTACTAGAAACCATCAGAAGACTCCAAAAGAATGGATTTGTTCCTGGGGTACTGGAGAAATAAGACAGAAACATACCGGTGGCAGCCCAGAGTGGAATTACAACGTTTGGCACCGTGGGCACGGCATGGAGGGGTGGGGAAGAGAAGGCATGGAGACAAGAGAGGCGTTAACCAGAAAAGGCATACTAGAGGGCTCTGGTTGTGGGTCTGGTCTAGGGTTGCTCTATTCTCCGTGTTTGCATCCCTGCATTGCTTTTTGGACACTCTCTCGAGCTGCTGCCGCAGCAGGGCCACTCTGACGGGCAGTAGCCAGCCATTCCAAGGAAGGGTCATTTTTGGAGGCAGCTATTAGATCCTGCTCACTTGGTCAGCTTCTCCTTTCCTGTTCTCTTCCCACGCTACTCCTTGACATTGAGGCTGTCTGAAATTATATTTCAAGTTAGAGATAAAGTCATGTTTTCAGACATCAGGACTTTTGTGCCAAACCCAGGAAACCCTAGATGCAGCCTTTATCCCTCTGCATATTTGATTGTGTAGATGCAATTTAATCCTAAGAAGGCTGCTGAAGCAGAAGCAAGAGATGGTGTGGCATTGTTGGAGTCAGGAGTCGTGGATTTCAGGCCCCACCTAGCCTGATACTGGTGTTATTGACTTCCTACTCAGTAATTTAATGTCTCTGAGCCTCAGTTTCCCTATCTCTGCAATGAAAACAAAGATGTTCCTTACTCACTTTGAAGCATTATTGAGAGGATCATGTAATATTTGTATCTCTTCCAAAGGGCTTTGTAAATTGTAAGGTACATACAAATTTAAGAAACTAGTGTCATGATGAAGAGCTGGGCTCTGGAGTCAGATTGGCTAGTTTGAGCCTTCTGACACTTTGCTGAATGACGTTAATCTCTCTGGACCTCATTTTCCCCATCTGGAAAATGGGAATAATAGTAACTATTCTGTGTACTTCTTGTGAACATAAAAGAAGTTAATACATATAAATTGATACATATACATAAGGTTTTTATACAGAACAGAGCCTGGCATAAAGTAAACTCAATAAGTATTATCTATGAATATTATCTATTATTAGGTAGATGCAATAGTAATTGCAGTTTTTGGCATTACTTTCAATGGCAAAATTACTGTTGCACCAACCTAATACTGCAGTCTGCAGCATTTAGTGGGGTCTCAGGTCTTGGATTAGCACCAAGCTATTTTTTTTTTTTTTAGAGAGGGTCTCACCCTGTCTCCTAGGCTGGAATGCAGTGCTGCTATTGTGGCTCACTGAAGTGTTGACCTCCTGGGCTCAAACAATCCTCCCACCTCAGCCTCCTAATGGGACTAGGGACATGCACAACCATGAAATTAGCACAACCAGCTAATTTTTATTTTTTGGTAGAGATGGGGTTGCCCTATGTTTCTCAGGCTAGTCTTGAACTCCTGGACTCGAGCAATCCTCATGCCTCTGCCTCCCAAGGTGCTGGGATTATAGGTGAGAGCCATTACACCCAGTCTTTTTTTTTTTTTTTTTTTTTTAATTTATGAAGAAATACATGGTGTGATGGTTCATGCCTGTAATCTCAGTGCTTTGAAGATAGAGGTGGGAGGATGTCTTGATGAGCCCAGGAATTCAAGGATGCCCTGAGCTATAATTGCACCACTGCACTAGGTGATAGAGCAAAACGTAATCTCAAAAAAAGGAAGGAAGGAAGGAAGGAAGGAAGAAAAGAAAGAAAGGGAAAGATAATGCCTGAAGGGCAATTGAGAATAACATAATTCCCAAGATACTATTACAGTTGTGAGAACCAGCAAGAAGCCCACAGCAGGCTTGGGTATACAGAACAGACTCGACCTAATGCGCACTTCATTCTTGTTTCTCACTGTCATTTTCTTAGACATGGAGACTGTCCTTGACAAGAGACTGAACATAGATCTAGTCATCTCAGTGGGTAGGGCTAAAGGACGGCCTGGTTGTTTGCCAGGGCAGCGACTTTCATCTTTATGCTCTCAAATGAGTAATCTAATATTTGATGTATTCCTCCTAGACTTGGCACTTGGGTGCTCAATAACTGGATCAGCATACAGGATTGATAAGTTTACAAAGGTCCTCAGCTGTTTCCCACATTTCCTCTCATTCCCCCAGTTAAGGTTTCATTCCAGGTGCGCTAACCTCACACCTGGAACTCCTTGTGAACAAAGACCTTCTTCATCACATTCTTCTCCCTCCACAGGATCCAAATTGCTGCCTCAATCAGCCTCCTTCTCCCTAATCAACTTGGCCTCAGCTTTCCCATTGCCAAGTGACATTCTGAAGTTCTCACCTCCTGGTTAACCTTCCCAATTTCCAAATCTGTTTTCTGCCCTGCTTCCTTTGCTTCCTCAATGCAGGCCGTTCCTGCATTGTTATGAAGAAATACTTGAGACTGGGTAATTTATAAAGAAAATAGTTTTAATTGGCTGATGATTCTGCTGGCTGTATAGGAAGTGTGGTACAGGAGTCAGCTCAGCTCCTGGTGAAGCTTCAGGAAGCTTTCATTCATGGAGACAAGTGGAGCAGGAGCCTGGCAAGTCATACAGTAGGAGAGGGAGCAAGAGCAAGGGAGGTGTCACAGACTTTAAAAAACCAGGTCTCAGGAGAACTCACTACTGCAAGAGCAGCACCAAGGCTCCACCCCCAGATTCCACCCCCAGGAGCCAAATACCTCCCACTAGGCCCCGTACAACACTAGGGATTACATCTCAATGTGAGATCTGGAGGGGAAATCCAATCTACATCACTTAATATAATTAGCTTTTTCATTCTCTCTTTTTTCCTTTTAGAATATCACCTTTTCCTGTCCCACCTTGGGTCTCACAACATTTCTCTTGTGCCAAATACTGACCCTTCCCTTCAATCTAAACATTTTTCAAATTTCATCCCAGGTAGGAAAGCCCACTTTGAATGTGAGTGAAATAGGGACTCCATTCCCCTTACTTACTCAAACCAACTTATAAACATTTATTACAAGAGGGAAGAAAATTCACTTATGTTGTATTTTAATTTAACCAACAAATATTTGTTGAGATTAGTACTGGTCAACAAAACAGTCATGATTCTGATTGTCTGATGAGTGATAGATGTTAAATCAGTAAACACAGGTGTGTGTATACTGATTGGATTTCTTCTCAGAAAAAGGGTTTTTCTTTTCTATCACATTGTCAGGCTACACATTTTCTGAACTTTTAAGCTTACTTCCCTTATAAAACTGAATGTCTTTAAAAGCACCAAAATTACCTCTTGAAGGCTTTGCTGCTTATAAATTTCTTCTGCCAGATATCATAAATCATCTCTCTCAAGTTCAAAGTTCTGCAAATCTTTAGGGCAAGGGCAAAATGCTGCCAGTTTCTTCACTAAAACATAACAAGAGTCACCTTTGGTCCAGTTCCCAACAAATTCCTCGTTTCCATCTAAGATCACCATAGCCTGGATTTCATTGTCCATATCATTACCAGCATTTTGGTCAAAGCCATTCAACAAGTCTCTAGGTAGTTCCAAACTTTACCACATTTTCCAGTCTTCTTCTGAGCTCTCCAGACTGTTTCAACCTCTGTGTGTTACGCAGTTGAAAAGTTCCACATTTCCAAATATTATTTAACAGTGCCCCACTCTACTGGTACCAACTTTATTAGTCCATTTTCATGCTGCTGATAAAGACCTACCTAACACTGGGAAATTTACAAAGGAAAGAGGTTTAATGGTGAACTCATAGTTCCATGTGACTGAGAAAACATCACAATCATGGTGAAAGGCAAAGAGGAGCAAGTCACATCTTACATGGATGACAGCAGGCAAAAAGCATGTGCAGAGGAACTTCCATTTTAAAAACCACCAGATCTCATGAGACCCATTCACTGTCATGAGATCAGCACAGGAAAAGCCTGCCCTCATGATTCAGTCATCTCCCACCAGGTCCTTTCCATAACACATGGGAATTGTGGGAGCTACAAGATGAGATTTGGATGGGGACACAGAGCTAAACGCTAACACCAAGGTTGCCAATTTAAAATGAAACTTAGTGAAAATCAGGATATACAGTTATTTTTTTTTCACAAGCATTATTGGTTTTAGTAAAATAAGAGCTTCTTAGTTTAAATAAAAAAAAAAAAAA